CCTCAATGTCCCTCCTGAGCTGAGGGCCCCAGAACTGAGCACAGGATTCAAGGTGTGGTCTCACCAGTGCGAAGCCCAGGGGCAGAATCACCTCCCTGGTCCTGCTGACCATACTGTTCCTGACCCAGCCCAGGATGCCATTGGCCTTCTTGGCCACCTGAGCACACTGCTGGCTCATGTTCACCTTCCTGTCGCTCTAAACTCCCAGGTCCCTTTCTGCCTGGCTGCTCTCCAGCATGTCCCATTGCATCAGGGAGCCGTTCCCATGCACCTGCACATCTTCCAAGTCCTTCCACATTGCAAGAAGGAATCTGCAGGAATCCAAGTAAAAGACTCCAACCTTCATAAAATCTTTCATAAAAGATTTATTTTAAAATTAGAAATGCATAATGTTTTTGGAAGAGGCAGAATTTTTGGCTCTGTCTGCGAACCAGCTCCTGGGCAGCCTTTGGGTGGTGTCTAAAACATCCCCAAAGCTCTGGGCCTGGAGCTAGAAGGGTCCCAAGTGCTGGCAGCTCATTTCTCCACAGGGCCCAAGCCCAGCATTGGGAACTTTGGGAAGAGTCCCTGCATCCATCCCTTGGGCAGGTTGCTCCTAGAGAGTGAATGATTCTGGTTCCTCTAACCTGTTATTCTGTAAGTGACTGATTAAAATGTGGGCAAAGGCCAGTGATGCTGTGCACCCTGGGCTTGGCAGTCTGGAGCACTAATCTTCTCTAACTTGTCCCCAGGTCTCCTGTTGCAACACTCCCCAGAAGCTGAAGAGATGCTGGCCCAACCAAACCCTGCAAGGTCTGACCAGCAGAAGGATGTACCAGAGGCTCCAGAGCTCATAGCACCAACTCTGCTGTAGAAATCATCCACTGAATAAGAGGAATTTTCCAAACCACTAGCAGCACCATGGGCTCCCCTGGAGGTAGGATGAAATTTTTCATGGCTTGAAAACAAGCCAGAAGTCTTTTGTTGTTGTTGTTTTCTGGGTTTTCTGCAGAGAAATCTTTTGGTCCTTAGGGGAAAGATGGATGAGGGGGTTGTAGGGAGAGCCTGGCTCTTGGTAGATCAGGTGTTGTCCTCTCCCTCACCTGATGATGAAGCTGGTCCCTACCAGCACCTATTCACAGTGAAAGGAAGCTGGAAAAAACTTGGCTGTAAAACATCCTTGAAAAGAAAACTTTGCTGCCACGTTGAAGTTGTTCACAGGAATCAGCACCAGCACTGTCACGTTGTACCAAGGAGCTAAGGCACAGCCATGCTTAAAATGGTTTAAAAACTGGTAAAATGCTCTAAGGAAGAAATGTTCTTCTGTGGGCTCAGAATCTTGATGTGCTGGGTACCAACAGCTGCCAGGAGAGGGGAAGAGCTGTGGGTGGTGCTGCTGACAGGGTGAGAAACCTCTCCCTGACACCACAGACCCTCTCAGCATCTTCCCCTTGTCACAGATGCCTCAGGTGGTGCATCCACCCTCAGCTGGCCAAGGGTAAATCAGTAAAGTGCTTTAAATCACATCATTTGCACTTGGTCCCACAGCTGCATCCTGCAGCAGCCTCCTTGGGGCTGGAGAGAGTTC